AAAAATATTTAATACATCTTTAATTTATATTTTTAAAATACAAAATAAATAAATATTTTTTATTTATTGTTAATTAATTTTGAATTGATGCTAATTTTGAATTGATGCTCATATTTTTTTTATATAATTTAATTATCTCATTTTATTTATTTATAATTAGTTTAAACCTCCATTTTGATCCCTCAACTATTGTATGTACCCCTAATTTAGTCCCTCAACTCAAAAATCCATGATTTGGTCCTTACTGTTTATCATTTTACCTCAATTTGGTCTCTCTGTTAAATATCCACCTACATGTCCTGTTAACTAATAGGAGTATGATGACATGTCAAAGTGTTAAATACACCCAGGAAGATAGCATGGAAAAAAAATAATGACATGGCAAAAAATACTTAAAAAATTCTCTTTTTTCCTCTTCCTCCTTCTTCTTCCTTGTTGGCCTTCGACAAACCCTAAAGACGAAACCTACAATTGCCCCCAACGAAACCTACAATTTCATCCTTTTATTTTGTTTTTCTCTCTCTATCCCTCAAACACCAGATCTGAACATTTTCCCTTCCAATTTCTCTCTTTTGTTGGGTTCGAAAGCTGGGTTCCTTTGAACCTAGAAGGAACCCAATGGCCGCTAGGTTTGATTTTGAACCCAACAACTGCTAGGTTGATAAAACCTAGCAACCACTAGGTTGATGGAATCCAACAACTACTTCTTCTTCCTCTTCCTTTCTTTTCACCTTCTACAAACCTAGACATTTTCTAACATCAAATCCAAGTATAACACAAACATAAACCCAGAATCTCTCCAAAATAGTCACTGCCCTCTCAGCCTTCCAAAAAACCCAAAAAAATCAATGTATCTTCTCCCAAATTTTTGCAAATACTTTGATTCTTGTGGGAGGAAGAAGGGAGAGACATGAAAGAGAAGCTTATTAAACCCAGCATTCTTCAATTGAACCTAGCAGTGCTTCCTGGGTTCATCAATCAAACCCAGCAGTGCCTGCTAGGTTTTTTGATCCAACCCAATAGCGTTTGTTGGGTTCATGGAGCGAACCCAAAAGTGCTTGCTGGGTTCTTCGATCCAACCCAGAACCCCCAAGGCCAACGAACAAGGATTTGGGGGAAGAAGATGAGCAACATAGGATGTTAGAGATGAGAATGAAGGGGTAATGAAAGGAAAATGGAAAGAAATTGATGTGTTGTTAAAGGTGAGGTAAAAAAATAATTTTAGTTTTATAATTATTTTTAAATATTTTAAAATTTACTGAAAATTATGTGTCAAGTTTTATATTCCATGCTGTCAATCTTACACGTCAAAATATTTTTACATATCATCCTTTTTTGTCAACTAATAGGACACATCGGGTGGATTTTTAACAAAAAAACTAAGTTATGATAAATAATAAGGATCAAATCAAGGATTAAATCAAAGGTTTGTATAATAATTAATGGACTAAATGGGGGTTTAACCTTATAATTATTAAAAAAAATTTATTAAATATAATAATTAATATTTACTTTTCATTTATATATGTTATGTATCTTAAAATTACTCACTCCTTTCTCAAATATTTGAACGTATTAAAGACTTAAAACTTTTTAAATAATTTATCTAATATGCATTTATCAATTTGACTTAAAAAGAAGAAGAAGAGGAAGAAGAATTGGGGTATTTTGGTCATGCAAATTCTTATTTATTAACAGGGCGTTGTAGTCCTTTACAAAAACAAATGTGACAAATTGACAATAG